CTGTCACTGGGAAAAGACCCTTACTGTTCACCAGTAAAAGTGGCCACAGCACTGCGACACATAATAATACCCAGTTGCACCAGACGAAACAAAACGGTCTTAAGGGGGATGACAAATATGCGAGGACCGAACCTAAATCCACGGTCAGTCGATCAAACTGCGTTATCCTCTTTAATGTACCAGACTGTAGCGGTAGTCTGCTGGAAAACAGGGCCCTGTTTGATCAGGAACAGTGGTCCAACTTATGTAGCACACTGGGTCTGGACATCCAACCAGTAAAACTGTGCAGATTGTATAGGGGCACTGCTGCTCCTCAAGGCAAACCATCCCCACTGAGGGTAACACTAGGCTCTGCCGAAGATGCCGAAAAAGTTTTATTGACTTCCCAAGTCCTTTCTATAGGGAGGACCTGCAATATACGTGTTAAGCCAGATAGGCCATGGAAGGAAAGACAGATGGCGAGGGAGTCGCCAGAGCTTATTCCTTCTGCCTCCATGGTTGTTCACGGCATTCCCGAACTGGAAACTGGGAACGCTTGTGAGAAGCACTGTCACGATGTACAACAATGGAGATGGTTGGCATCCCAGATGGGTCTGGGAAGTTCATGGGCTGTCTCTATTTTTAGACTGCCTCGACCCACTCACCTAATGTCAATTAACACCCCACGCCTGTTAGCTGTTAAGTTCAGCTCCCGAGACCACTTGACTACTGCTCTCCAGAGATGGTACGAGACCAAGGACAAGGTCAGCAGACACATTCGCTGCTGCGAGAGCCAGCCTCGTACCCAAAGGAGAGAGCAAAACGTTGTCATAGAACATCCCCAACCCCTAGTCACAATACAGCGGTGCAGCACGGACGATGATAGCCAGTGTCATCCAAGTGCTCCGATTGAATCAGAAGAAAAAAACGCCAACAGGCCGGTTCCCGGGGAATCGGCCAACTAGTTCGTAGGATAACTCCTCAACCGACAGCCCACATCACGTCAACCACCCCCCAATACGGGGACGTGGTGAGACTGACTACCAGTTGCCTGTACAGTAATGTGAGAGGTCTAAGAGGCAAAATAGCTGAACTTAGATACCTACAATCACAGCTGAACTCCAAAATCATAATACTGACGGAAACCTGGCTAACCCCTACGGTGGCAGACAGCGAAGTCAGTATAAATGATATGGTCCTTGTCAGGCGAGATAGGGATCTGAAAGAAGGAGGTGGAGTCGCCATATACGTCGACACACAGCTTAGATGTGTCCATGCAATCGACCCTCCCCTCATTGAGCTCCCTGACTCCATATGGTGCCATTTCACCGTTGGGTACTGTAAGTATCTAGTGGACAGCATTTACAGATCACCTTCATGTGGAGCAGACCACAACCAGGTACTGCTGAATGCAATTTCAGCGACACATGACATGGGTTATGATCAAATTGTCATAGCCGGAGACTTCAATGCCCCATCTCTTAACTTGATGACGGGATGTGCCCAGGACAGATTTGATCGAAATCTGCTGCATACCATCACGGAGGCCGGATTCACCGAAAATGTCAGAATGGATACTAGATGGGGCCCAGATGGGAAGTCTTCTAGACTGGATTACGTGCTCACTAGTGACCAGCTACTAGTGGAAAACGTTCAGATCACGACTCCCATAGGTAGTAGTGACCACGCGGTCATAACATTCGACATAGTCCCCCGCGAGCGTTTACAGTGGGACAATACACAGCCCTATCTGTGTTATAACAAAGCCAATTACACCGAAATGCGAAGGCTTTTGTCTGAAGCAAATTGGCCAAAAAATTGGACAGAGCTTACAGTAGAAGAACACTGGAGAGTGGTAAGGGAGATCATTCACCAGGCGATCTCAGACACTGTTCCTTTGGTCACACCAAAAGCTAGAAAGCAACGTTCATGGCTAAAATGGGGGACACAGCGCCTTCTACAGGCGAAGCGAAAAGCCTGGTTTGCGTGGCGAGTATCGAAGAGTCAACCCGAACATGAAGAGTACCTCGAACTCAGGAATCGGTGTAACATACGAGTCCGGAGTGATAGAAGGACATTTCAGAGAAACCTCGCCAATAAGCTTCTCGTGAACCCCAAAAGCCTATACAGGTTTATGTCCGAAAGAAAACCGACCAACCAGGGAGCTTGCAATCTAGTGGGTTCTGATGGGAAATCTCTTACTAGTCTTGAAATGGCAGAGACATTCAGTCTAGCCTTTCACAGGCAACTGAACAGTAACGAGGATTTTACCCCCACAAAACATCAAGATTACAATGCAAGACCAACGTGCGAAAACCTGCTGGGTACATTTCAAATTACCCCGGCTATGGTACTCGTAAAATTGGGAAAGTTGGCTTCGGAAAAGTCTGCAGGTTGCGATGACATAAGACCATCCGTCCTGAAGCAGTGTTCAGAAAGTCTCTGCCAACCCCTAAGTGATCTGTTTCAACACTCCTTTGATATAGGGAAACTTCCATGTGAATGGAAACGAGCTATCCTATCCCCTATCTTCAAGGGTGGTGACCGGCAGAATGCGACCAGTTGCGCTACTTCCAGTGTTATCGAAGATATTGGAAAGTCTCATTGACGACCACATGAGAAAATACTTCGACGGAACTAACCTACTCCATGAAGCACAGCACGGTTTCAGGAGGGGAAGATCCTGTGTGACGAATCTTCTACTAGCTTGGAACGATTGGACACTATCCTGGGATGTAAAGGTACCAGTCCATGTGATCTTTCTCGACTTTGCGAAAGCATTCGACACAGTTCACCATGGTCTGCTCCTTCACAAAATAAGCAAAGCGGGTGTTTCTGGAGCACTTCTCGCATGGCTGGAAGATTATTTAGGCGAGAGAGAATTCTGCACCAAAGTCAACCGCATCCGATCATCCTGGCACACCTCGGCATCAGGGGTTCCTCAGGGTTCTATCTTAGGGCCGTCGATGTTTTTGATTTTTATCAACGACCTGCCCTGTCAACTGAATTGCTCTGCGCTTCTCTACGCTGACGACGTAAAGATTTGGAGAGCAATAAACTCATCGGAAGACTCCGACAGATTGCAGGCTGACCTGCAAACGCTGGGAGACTGGGCTCTGGCTAACGGAATGCCTTTCAACTTAAAGAAGTGCAAAGTGGTGCAACTTCATTCCGGCAGGTCACAAGGTGCAAATTACACCCTTGGTGGCCAGAACTTGAGTTGTGTGCCATCAGAACGCGATCTAGGCCTTATTTTAACAGAAAAGCTAGACACCAGTGTAAATTACACGAGAGACGTCGCCAAAGCTTACGCCAATTTACACTTTATGCATAGGCAGCTGGGAGCTCTTACTCCTGAACTATTCCTAACGTTGTATACGACATACGTGAGGCCACTCCTTGAGGTGCATAATATCATTGCTCCTCCGCTACTCAAAAGGGATGCTAACATGCTAGAAAGTGTCCAGAGACGAGCGACAAAATGGGTGATCGGCCTCCGCAACAAATCATATGAGGAAAGACTGAAGAAATTAAGTCTTTTCACACTTAGTTACCGTAGTCACAGGGGAGACCTCATCACCGTCTATAAGATCTTAAATGAACAGGCCCATCCTAATAAGAGCATCCTGCCATTAAGTGATTATAGGCTTCCACGAGGTAACCCGCTAAGGATAGCACATCAGAGACCAAGGACTCGAGTGCGTTCACATTTCTTCTCGCTTCGAGTTTGCCATCTCTGGAACGCTTTACCGGCGGCCGTGACTACAGCTCCATCTGTGGAGACTTTTAAGCGGAAGCTGGACAATCATGCAGAAATGCATGGTTTGTGTCTCAATGGCTTACCCTCTTAAAATTTGAAACCACATTGTCAATGGATAAGCATACAAGCTAAATCCCCACGACCCGTCCTGTCTTCTCCCACTGTACCGACTACTCTATCTTTTCTTTCTTTCTTTATTATTTCACCTTTATTATTTCACTTATCTCAACCTATATTATCTACACTACAACCTATTATTATTATTACTATTCTACTTTTATGACTATACCGAATGACCAACGGGTGTTAGGTCAAACTGCATTCACAGCAGCAGCTGAGTCCTAACATACTGCACAATACAAACCACAATCTTGACCAATCCTCGCACCACTCCTCTTGGAGTCTACCAGAGCTAAAGCAGTCGAGTGGCGGGATTTACTACGCATAAGTTCACCGAAGATCTGGAACCTCTACCTTACAATCAAGAAGCGAGCTCAAAGAAATCACTGGTTTTTACTAGCTCGTAATCAGGATATTGGATATTGGAACGTTCATACACGCTATTCAGAACAATATTGGATATTGGATCACGCTACTAAATTTTAAAATCTTATGTTGTTGTCGTGACCAGGGGCTTAATTACACAAGTTTTGTGTGATGCCTACAGTCTCTATTTCACCGGTAAATTTCTAGCTTCCTTTAGCTAAAATAAAAGCATTTAGTATTTTTAGAATGTTAAAAGCATCTTCATTTAGTGTTTTGATTTAAAGTGGTAAAACCCCAAATGAGGAAAGCAGTGGGGCCTACGGATGTATACCACTTTTCCGGATTAAACATTCAGATCCTGGGGTCTCGCCTTATCTCAAGGTTGAAGTCAATGAACAGGTGCTCAAGAGAATTATCCATGCTTATCATCTCTTTCATGAGGATCCTCATGAAAAAGATTATGGGGTGCGTAAAAAACGCTTCTTAAGGTAGTTGACTCCAAGAAATAAGTAACTGAGAACAAAATTAATTCTCTATGGCAGTTTAATTCATCTTTTGACGTTTGTTCTCCTGTTCCCTATGAGTTATTGAGGTTGGAGTGTGTAAAGTAGACGAACCAGGTCCGTAGTCGGTTCCTGATGATGAGAACTGGTCCGCCTCTTTTGTCCTCGACATTACAAGCTCCAGTATCAGGAATCTTGTCTTTTGAACAGCTGCAATGCATTGTTATGCCAAGATTTCATTCGTAAATAAATTACATTTTATGTCTCCCTGCAATGAATCCGGTGGTTTTAAGTGTTGCCTTCGTATCCATTTTATTGATTACAGGGAACATTTGCTCATCAGACAACGTTAGTTGCAGTATCACTGTGGATTACTCAGCACTGTGTATTCGCTTCTTTTTAGCTTTGTGCATGTCATTACTGCGCAACCATAGCCTCATCGAGAATTAAAATTGTGACCAAGTCAGGTATGGACTAGGCGTTCATCGATGTATTTGTCATTTCACTGCACTGGTTGCTTGTTTTGTAAAAAAAGGTCATGAGTGTGAATGAAAAATGCTAGAATACACATATAAAAACAAAACAATTGTCAAGTGCTGCCTAGCATGCAATGATTTTCTAACTATTGTCGTATGTTGAATGAATCTGCCTTAAAATTTATTTATTTTGTTTGTGTCGATCAAAATAGTTGGAATTTATGTACTGATAACAGTTTTATATTCTAAACGGTCATTTAGTTTAAATGTTGAGCTAATCTTTCGTAAGTAGCTGTGTGTTTTGTGACTGTTAGATATACAGTAAGTTTTAAATAAACTGATATTCTTTTAGGAGATGAGGAAGTGCTGCTGTTCACGGAAAGTACGACGTATACTAAAGCAGGTTTTAATATTCATAACCTCTACAGTACTTGTTCTGAGTATACGAAAGGGAAATCGAAACACTAAGTTAATTATCCAAAATATAAAATAAATTTTCGGATCAAAATCGTAGTGTGAAGATGGCTAATTAACTAGCTGGAACGAAAAAAATTAGCACGATAACACGTCAAACGGCGTGAATGCCCAGTCGTCTACCTCCAAATTAAGGAGTCGACTTAAAACATGATCAGTGATTGGTGCTGTAGGCTAGTCATTTTGAGGAATTATTTACCTTTGTTAACTTGCAGGCACTGAGAAGCCAAATCAGAAAACTAATATAATTATTAATATGCACTCAAAGCATATATGTATTTCGCAGTAAATAGTAGGAAATTATTTGAGCAAATGTTTAAAGGTATAATTATACAACAAACGCTGAACCAAGAAGTATTTCACAGAAAGAACAAGACGAGTTATTTAGTTATGACAAGAGAAAAAATTTGTCATGCAAACTTAAAAATGTATTAAAAATATGGGAGAAATCTTGTGATTCCTTTAAATAATGAGTTGTTTTGACGCTAATACATCTACCTTGGACCTGTGCATTTTTGATTAATGAAGACATGAACCAAGGTTACACTGTGAAACAACTTTCGACTTTGTTATGCCAAAAATAATGGTTGCAGCGAACAATTTCGTATCACTGAATAGTTTAGCATGAAGAATAAACTTTGACAACGATAATTTACGGAGCACCTGACAATATTAAAGGTACTGAAATGGTTAAAAAACTTTAGGAAAGTTGTGTCATTCAAACAGGGTAAGAGGGGAACAGCCTTTCGCTAGTGGCTGCAAAAATTACAAATGGAATTAACTGAAACTGCAGTTGGACGACTAGGTCGATTTTGTTTTACAGCTACAGGAAGAGGGCAAAGATAGATATATTTAATAGGTTAGGTCCAGTTCTACTCAGTAGGTCCAAGGGTGACTTGGAGGAGGTCATGTAAAGAAGAGATGAAAATGTGTAGGCAGACTTGGAGCCAGGTGAAGATTCTAGCAGAGAACCGAACGCAATGGAGACGCACGGCTGAAGCCCTATGTGTTCCTCTAGGAATTAAAGGAAACAACAATAATAGGTTATATAGGTTATGGAACATACGCCTGGTGAGTGAATTTGATCAGAACCAAGATGTGGTTTGAATAAGCTTGTGCGATGTGTTTCTAAGACTGAAATGGAAAGAGTTAATGGATCATACTGTAACCTTATATCCCTGTTTATCGTTGACCTGACCATATTTTATGGTATAATGCTTATTTTTATAGCGAAGATAGGAGTTGTTACCTCACTTCCATTGAAAGATGGAAGGCTATGTTAGTTGCTTGAGTTGCCATCATACTGATCATAGATATGGCCTGATTGATCATTATTGTTGTATATTACTGCTCATGTTAAAACACTGCCTTTCTGGGCTGAAACTAGAACTAATATAAATTATGTATTCATTCAAAAAACGTCTTCGTGACTCGATATATTCGAGTGGTTCAGTCAAAATTCTAGTTTAAGCATGTACTTCTTCTTCGGCATGAATTCACTTCTCATGTTTTATTTCCTCACAGACACATTGGCGAACTTTTGGTAACATTTTCTACTTATACTATTGAAGATCCTTAAACATTAGTTTCTTTTACCAACAGTTACGGTTGTAATTTAATAGATTCTAATTATAACTCACTGTTTTTACGTTTTTTTTGAAGTTTAGATTATTTTGAATAATCATAATATGAAACTCCAACTCTTAGCAACAAAGAAATATGCATTTCAATCTAGTCATTACAATTGCTATTAACTAAAGCTTCATGTTAATTCCGATTGAAGTACTATTCTGTTTGCTTATATTTCATTTGAATTTTAATCAAAGTAAGTTTATAATGATTTTTATGCAGTTTAGGGCAAAATGAATTGTGATTTATTCTACGATGATTGAAGGCAGACCACTTCTGGGCCTTAGTAACTCATTAAATGACCTTTGTTGCTTACAATAAAGCCATTAGCAAAGGTTAAATAGGCTAATGCGAATTACTAACGTCACTGTTACTTCTCAGTTAGCGAAAGGAGAACGTAAATGGAAACATTATGTCAAGTGTGTATAAATTCCTGGGCTTGTATCATAGTTAAAGAAACTGTGCTTATGTTTGATGGCAACTTAGTACCTCTGACATTCATCCGCTACCAGCCAACCTGCTCGTGCTGACAATAAGCATGAGAAAGAGTGAAGGTTGGGAATAAGGCTAGCAACTCCAAAGATGTAAAAACAACGCCAATATCACACAAACTTCAAAGCTTAAAGCCTAAAGTGCTATGTCCCATGTGGAGCGCAAAGAATGCATAAAAGTATCATGCAGAGTAGATTTAAAGCACTCATTCCAAACAATAGACATTAGAGTGTTTTAAATTGGAAATTACTCACATCTGTATATTAAACAGTCATTTCTAAAGCGGCATGTCATAATAGTCTTCATTATAACCCAACTGCCTTTTCAGTGTACTTGGTTTTGCTAATTATCCACTCTTTGTGAACATCTGTGTAGTTCTTTTATGTTAACTAAGATTATTATGAAAAATTGTTCCTCTCTGTTTTAAAATTTCACAAAAAGTATATTAACTTTTCAAATGTAGATTTTATCCACAATTGTCTGTTTGCTGTTCATTTACTAATGATCATATTGTGACTATAACCTAGAATTTAAGGTTTTTATGTTGAGCTACTCAATCAAAAATCGGCAGATCAGGAGTTTAGGAAGATTTCAAGTGAAATAGTCAAATTTAGCTAAATACATCTTGCAAGACAGTCACTTTTCCGCATTTCTTCATTTGCTGACATCGGTTAGAGAACTATCGGAAGACTTAGGAATACTGGACAGCTGTTTCACCCTGGTTTGGCGTTCCTCATCAGTACTGTCTCACCGGTGTTCATACCCAGCACCTTCTGGTTACAAGGAGAGTTCGTAGGCCATTAAACCAATTAAACCCTTGCAAACGAACACTTGAATATTTATCTGGTGGTCACTGGCGGCTGGTTCTATTCAGGTAGGTAGCTACCTGGGCTCTAGTGGGAAGTCGTGACCAGTGGAGTCCGCAGAGTGGACGGCAAATACTCGCCAGTGATGAAGCTAGCTAGTGTCGGTTGCGCTATACATAACATAAGTAGGCAGAATTTGTGATTCATGAATTAGCTACTGGATCGAGGTCCTAGTGTCTGAATGGTTCACGAGCTCGACTTGTAATTAGAAGGTCCTGGTTCAGAACCCAGACAGTGGGGTGGATGCGTACTGCTGAAGAGTTCAAAACTAAGCTTACGAAATGGCTGTTCAGTAGTCCCTGCTGATTTTTAATGGTTCTCTAAATGATGTCATCTCATGATGAAATTCTGTTAACAATCAAATCCTTGCAAACCAATAAATGAAATCACTTTTCACTAGTTTTGAATTAAATATTCCTCCTAAATAAGTTAATGGCAGTGAGAAAGAGGAATGAGGTATGGGAGGTTTTTACGTTTTGGGCTTGTGTTGTACTTGAAAGTAGTGAGGTAATATTACTTTTAATAACTAGTAAGTTTGTCCTCATATTCATGAGTTAGAGGTCTAGATTAACCACTGATTTTTCATCTCAGAATATTGTTAGTAATACACTTTACAAAGCTACTCAATTATTAAATTTTAGACACTATCCAAAAGTAAACTATTTAATACTCCTAAGTCTCTAGTAGCTATTTTATTAAGATTATTTCGTAGAGTTTTAACTCTTAATGAGACGAAATAATGAAGTATTACTGCTGTTATTATTTTTATCACTGCTGAAAAACTTATCCAAATAATTTCTAAATCCTTTTGTATTTTGCTCTTAGTTAATGGCCAGTGTGTATTTCCAGTTTTTGTCAATGGTATACGCTATACATCTTGCTTAAATGGAACACCCTGTTCCACTTCTCATATTTATGATGGAAATTCGCTACCTTGTGAAGAGAACCGTAAGTCTCTGTTATAGACATGCAGAAATAATTAACGAGATTGTTTTCAGTTAACGGACTAAATCTATTTTGTTCATTGGTGATTGCCAGGGAGATAGATTTTCCTCGAGTCCTAGTGGAAAGTTAGTTCCCAGCAGTAGGGACAAATTATTCGGGTAGGAAGGTATGAACTCACTGTTGGGATTGGATAAGGGTAGTACTATTTCATGAAAAAACAAGACAAATAGTTCAGCCAGGAGGTTCTTTTTGGCAAATTTATTTTCTCTAGTTGTACAATGAGATTTATATACAATATACTAGTCAGTTAGTTGTGTTCTCTCAGCTGGTTTGTTTAATTGTGGAGCTTTCGTCATCCTTCTGGAGAACATCTTCGGTGGAAGTTTTAGCGTAAAATAAACTGATTTAAATTCTCCACGAATGATAGAATCGCGTCTCCTGGTAACAATCTTCGTAACCGATAGCCGATTTACATCTCTATTGATAATTTTTTATTGACTTGGATTTTGAACTTTCTCGTCGCATGACTTACTTTTTATTAGTTAGCAGATTTAGTCTATATTACCATGTTTGTTAATCGCGTATTCACTCGGGTACTAGGCTAGTCTAATATACTACTCCGCAGAAGCCCAAAAGACAAGATCTCGTATATGGTTACTTCTGTGTGTGTAACAGCTTACAAAGAAATATTCCGTTACTAAATCTCGTCTTCTTCAAATTATCATTTAACTGGGAAAGACAAAAGACTTTTTAACGGAGTGTATTTTTGCAATTTGATATGCACATATAGGAAAACTGTGTACACCTTATATTAAAATCGTCATTTGCACAGATTTTCCATGTTGTGCTACTTCTGACCTTCGTAGTGTCCTTCTTTGTCTTCTTATCCGTGTCTCTCATGTTTTTGCACAACTCCGGTTCATTTGCTACCTCTCTTTTTCTTTGACGTGAAATCTTTCGCTCAGTTATTTGATATTTTTGTGCTTCGATGAACGTCTCTTTATATACTACTGATAAATCTTGTCAGTAGCACACGCCACATGTGAACATTTTTCTGCAGTTTTCTTTTAGTCAGTCAATTTTAGAAAAATTTTTATCAAAGTTTTAGCCTGTTTGATGCATCCTTATCTCATGAATTAGTCATTGCTAAGTGACTGCTAGTTCATCATATCACGGAACTAGTCAGTATTGTCAACCCACGACATCGTATGGTATTGAGCCAAGCAGCTGCTGGCATTGCAATGGAAGGGTTACCACTTATCCATAGTTGTACGACGATAACTGACATTCTATAATTTCTCATATTTTATCATACAAAGTAACAGTCTTCTAGTGTTATACGTAAGCAGTTGATGTCATATCTGACACCACTTATTACACTGGTTATGGTTCCCCAATAGGAATGAAAGGAAATTAATCTCAAAGGTGATTACCAGTAAGTAGTGTATGATTTTTTTCACCTGGAGATTTTCTAAGAAAATGACCTATTTCAGTGTACGTCATTATTTCATTTTATAATATCTACATTATGACTACATTAGAAATGCTTTATTTCACAAAACATCTCCAGATATTAGATGGTTGGATCCAGTCGACAGGAAGCCTTGGACCTACGTTACGTCAGCAAGGCGTATTTGTAACCTTGAAGGAACTCATGTTTCTTTTGAGACTCGAACCTACATCAGCTAGTGCTGCAGTCAGAGACGTCACCACTGAGCTGTCTGGGCTGGCGATTGATTTTCTGTAGGAGTATATTGAATACTTTAATTGGACAGTAGTTAGTCACTAGTTCAATGTGTCTAGTCCTTCATTCTGTGCGGAATGAATTCTATCAATTAGTCAAGTTTGCAATGTGGACACCATGCTAAGTGGCTTGCCATAATGGTACACTGTGAACTGTTTGATTGGAGGCAATCGGCAGGAAGCCCTGGACCTAAGTTTCGTGCTAGTTCCCTACACACCTTGCTGAATGGTGAGTGCCAAATAGCACGAAACCTGGGTCCAAAGCATCATGACCATTGCCTCCAACTATTCGCTCTGCACCAAACAAAGGACGAGACACATTACACTAGTTACTAACTAGTGTTCAATCAAGGCATCTCTAGATTCATATAACATTTTGCTTCTCAACATAAGAACTTTTTATGTACTTCTTAGAAGTCATTTTCTAGAAACCACTTTAAAGGATCATAGCACTGATGATTTGCAACAGTTTGTGAATAAAGGAGTACTCCTTCTTATCGCTTTCGTATACGATAAAGCAACTGATAACAAGCATTTTCCAAATTAATTTTAAACATTGTTGTCTTGGAGAATTGAGTACAGTTAAGATTACACACTCTTATCTAAAGTCGTGTTCAGGATAGTTGTACTTGCAAATAATAGTAATACAGAGTAGAATGTTTTCTGTTTAGAAATGAAAATATGAACTCATTTGGGTAGATTTAAACTGTTACAACTAAAGTCAAGGTCTGTCAAAAGTTGACCCTCAAGAACCAATCAGATTCAGGGGACGCTATTATAGGTCATTGGAAATCAAATTCGCAATGCATTTTACTTAATACCTAGCTACTTTTCTTTGTAAATCTATAGTGTTAGGTAGGATGAGGGATTTTAGGGTTAAGATTATGGTTAGGGTTAAGGAAGAGTGTCAAGAATGCCAGTGCATCCCATGATCTAGGATCACTTAAGTGAACACAACTATCGCATCTGATGTGATTTCTGTCTGGAATATCCTTGAAATAACTCAGAGACATTCTTACAACACAAAGGAGACAATTATCCAAGGCATAATAATGTTCGCAGTGTTTGTAGTACATTTTTTAAACGATTTTGAGACTCCTTTTGCATCCGACTTATGATTGGTTGTTCAGTATCACTGTGGTTCTGTCTGTGACAGTTTAGCTTCACTTTCACTCTTATTTGAAGCTATTGGTATGATAACATTCATATCTGTGTGGAAAGCTTGTCATCTTGGACTTTAGCAGTGACCAGTGTAAATGTAATACTGACAAGAAGTTTCTCTAGATTTTGTACACTCCTCTTATTTCTAATGAGTATCAACAATCATAGGAACATTAAGAAAAACACTGTTTTTTCGTAAACTGACGTGCGACTTCTGAGATTTTCATCAGGTATAAACTGTTTTAATCGTCTAACTTTGTTCCTGGATTTCATCATGAACTTTCACACAGTTTTAGTTTGCTGTAAAACATTTTTTTCCCTTCACGTTCCCCAGTGGAACATAGGGCTTCAAGCTTGTGGCTTGCAGTTTCTGTAGCAGTGTTTATTTTACAGGATGGGGTTGCTAACCTCATGCCCAACCTTTCCTCTTTACCAGCATTATTTCTGGCTTAGCGAGGTAAAGGAGTGCATCGGCTGGGGATCGAACCCCGGACCATGTGCATGGTCGGCGAGTGTTCTAACCACTATGCCACCGACGCACGCTGTAAAACATAGCATTTCTCAATAGAAATGAGGAGAAAAATATCATAGCGATTTGGAAATAGACTCAGATGGGACGACACAGTGTCACACAATTTTTCCTTGAAGATCCCGTACGAAGATTAGATGTATGACAATTTAACTTCCTAATTGCTAACTACGGCTTTCACAAACTTTAGGATACGCCCGCCCCCAAATACGTTTTATAGATAGGTTTAAAAGACACTTAAACATCAATTTTATGTCCTGTCTCCTTTATATGTTTCGCGATAGAAGAGCTAGGTCTCCTGTTCTCACCATTAATGGGTTCTAAAGATTCCATTTGCTGTATTTACCACTTCTAATGTATGTGTGTCCACACATACATAGGGAGGACTCATCGATCTCTGCAAGTAAGCGCTGGCTTTAGAAGATATTCCTAAATGGCTCCAGAAGCAAATAGAATCCCCAGAACCCATTAATGGTGAGAACAGGAGACCTAGCTCCTCTATTGCGAAACATATAGAGGAGACAGGACATAAAATTGATGTTTAAGTGTCTTTTAAACCTATCTATAAGACGTGTTTGGGGGCGGGCGTATCCTAAAGTTTGTGAAAGCCGTAGTTAGCAGTTAAGAAGTTTAAACTCCCTTTATGCGTTCAAAGCAACAATTCGTCATCACACTAAACCACATTCTTTGGTAAACTTTATTTTGATACCAGCCAGGGCAGATGTACTGTTACCTCTGTTATTTCGTTTAGTGGTCTTCACTGTTATTTTGACCTTCAATATGTCATTTTAACTTGGCTTAAGTCTGTTTTCTCACCTCTAAGCTCTTTATTAATTTCACATATATATTCCTATGGCAAGTCGGTGGAGTGTGATCAGATTGTTCGAAATGTGTTGCGTAAATACATTACACAGACGATTCAGACAAATTACGTCTTCTTATTGCTTTATCTAAAGCTGTTAATATTATTATTAATATTTACAACCCAAACTTGTAGCCAGTGGTTAATAAATAATAACTTTTTTCTTCTTCAAAACACAAATTAAAATTATTTGCTGTTTGTTTAAATTTTTCAATAATTCATAGCACTGATTCCATTCAAGAAAAAAGTACTAGTTACAACGAAACGTATTCATTTGGTTATTTGTGATGTGGAGACAAATAATTCAATGTTAGCTAAAACAATTAAACCATATTTACGCGTAAAATCAGAATTATGGTTACGTCAGCTGCATCCAGGTGTTGCTGAAGTAAGTTATAAATACACTGTTAATTATATATTTCATTTCAATAATACACACACACACACAGATTTGATCCGATCATTTAACAATGATCTCGTCAAGTTTAAAGCCACACTAGTCGACAGCTTTCAACAGGATGAAAATGCTAATCTTTCTACCAAAAGCCTGTTCATTAAACAATGTCAGCAAGCTCAAAGTTACTTATTTTGTAGTGGTCAATTAGCTTTGGGAGCCAAAACCTACATTTCATCCTATTTAGGACTCGTCAGCTGGATGTACCCCCTCTCAAGGGAGTGGTGGTATCCTTACTTAACCAGACTCAAATCCGGTAACTATCGTTTCGGATACCAGAGGGTTATTTAACAGGTGAGTAGGCTACGAGAGCCATCTATTGTGCACAACATGCGTGATCACAAACAGTAAGCTTTGAGTAAATACGTCCAAACCAAATTTACATTTAACAGTTTGAAAAAATTTGGGATTCACTATACCTTATTTAAGTTATTTTGTATTTTCTGTCAATAGATTTTCAATAAATAGAAATACCCGATTGATTTTTGGTTAACTGGCAAGTTGATTAGAAATTTTGATGTGGTTGTGTTCTCTGAGCTGAACATTGTCTCTGAACATTGTCCCAATCGAATTCAAATTAGCTTCAAGCAACAAAAATGCTAGAGAATTTTTAGAAGCTTGGCGTTCCAGTGAATCATCAATCAATAGACACATCGAGATTGACAAAATTTATCAACCGATAAGAAAGAAACCTCACACACAAAGGGTCAAAGTTCAAGTCAAAGAAACAATCACTTCCAATACAAGTAGCCTAGAAGGTGTGAAAACGCACAGAAACAACCAATCACGTCCAAGGTCACCAGGAGGGATTATTGACAAACTCGTGGAGAAATCTGAAAGCTCACTTCAAATTGAAGTATGCGCTGAAGATGTCACCTAGTAGAGTGATGAAAGCTTCGCAAATTAACTATCCAGCTCAGAGAACACAACCACATCAAAATCATCCACCTGAGCTACAAATCTTTTCCATCATATCTAAATCTTACGAGCGAAACACGATTAGGAATTTGTAACGAAATTCCATCACTATAGTTTCCTTTGAAAACCAATTTATTCAGATCACCGCTAATATGTGATATGCTTGATACGACAAATCGTGATCAAGAAAGTAAGCATATTTGCGCACAACTATTTACTACTGACTGATTGAGACGAGGAGTAACATACCACTCATACGATTTGACCAGTTCGTCGAAGTAGCTAGCCAGAAGCCGTGTGTTCTTTGAAATGATCCTGCTCTCTTAACTGAGTCAAACTGGGGTACACCACTGATTGGCTTGGCTCTGACCGAGGCCATCTCGATCCGAGTAGCTAGCAAGTACTAGAGGTTGATATGAGTGGCATACAACTACTTATTTCAATCAATGAGTAGTATATAGTTTTATGCATCAAAAAGTTGTAGCCCCACAACAAGTTTCTTCGCTTTATGGGAATACTAAGTGTTAAAGAACAAATGTAAACTTTGTACTCTTCACGGACTGATTTAAGACTAATTGAACTTCCTGATGGTAGTCTACCAATCCAAGACTACCTGAAACGCTCTCACTATTAATTCCCAACCTTCTCATCTCTTTCTACTTCAGTATGGATTAGGAATGATAGGAATTGACCTACCTGAGCAGCTAATGTATTGGGATTTGAAGTGAGGCAGTAAGTTACATACTACTGGTCCACGTAACAGATAGGCATATGTCGTGATGGGTTGACCTAAGGTCTTTTATAGCTCAACTGAGAGAGCACCAAGCTATTTTAATGCATAAGCTGTAATGACCAAATTTATTAGGTTATGGTCTGAATGCAGAAAACCGATCTCAGTGTTCTATTGTATTATCTGTCTGTCTGTCTGTTTTCGACATAGAAATTTGCACTGATGTGCAGCAGTTCAAGGCGCCACACTCTATGTAGCACACAAAGCAAGAGAAGACAGTAGAAGAAATGCATAATAAAGACAGTAAACAGAGGTGTGAGACAAGGGAATTGTAATAACGAAGAACAATATAGTTTCATTGGGAATCATAAGTGACAAGGAGTGGATGCACCTGCACCATCATCGAGGACGATTTCGAGCCATATCATCAACTGTTTTTACTGTCCCGAGGAGCCCATCCAGGAAGTCTACACCTTCCCATGTGGCTTAAACTAACTGTTGCAGATTTCATTCAGTGGTGCCATGTTTTGGTTTGACCACCACAGTCTCTTTCCCAGACTGACGCTATGTTAGCTAACATTGCCCATTGTCGAGGAAGGTGATGGTTAGGGATGCATGCGTAACACATGTCCTAACCATCTCAGTCGATGTTATTTCACAGCCTCCTCGATTGATTTCCCCTCCTTACCTAGCACTCGACCAGCGCCTAACCTCAATATTGCTCACCTTATTATACCACTTCACACGGGAGATAGAACGCAGACACCTATGATCGAAGACAGCTAATCTTTTCATGTCTTCTGCCCTCAATGGCCAGGTCTCACAGCCATAAAGGAGGACGGAGCGGAGTGCTGAGCAGTACACACGTCCTTTGGTTGACAGCCAGTCGGATATCACGTCTACTAAGCCAGAGACGGCGTAAACTGGCGTATGCGAACCTAGCCCTCTGTATCCTTATCTGTATTACAGCCGAAAAAAGCTTCGTTGAGACACGCGCTATCAGGAAACGTTCCGAAAGCGGGGGAAAGACGATTATTATTCAATATTTTAATGGTTCTGTCAAACAGTAATAACATCGAAACTCAAACTTTCCTCAACAGTGTCATGAGGCAGCTGCTATGTAGGCAGTGTGGGTTTCTAAAACAAGCACTGTAAGACAAAACTGACTAACCGGAATTCAGATATAAAAAGTACCTTCGAATAGAGGAGGACGAGGAGGAGAAGGAGAATATTCCCAGCGAAAAAGGGATCTATCAAAAGCTCTGCCCACAGGAACCTGACACCAAGGCTTCCCGAAGACAGTCTCGAGGTCAGAATCACCTTCATTCACTCAGACAAACTCATATCGTTAAACAACAAACACATCGTCAGTGTACACACAACTACAAAGAGAAGTATTACAATTAAAGATTAATTTTCAAGTATTGGTTTTGTAGGGATGTTGTTTGATTGCGTGCAGGATTTCATCATGAGCTGACATCAGCTAGAGAGCCATTGGAAAATCTGGAATATAAGTATAAAACTTGGGCACTGTGGTAGAGTGTAACTCCATTATGGATACGGTTTTATTTTGATCAATCACACAGTGTTAAACAGTAATATTAACTGATGACGTTTTGAGCACAAATTATTGCTCATAATCATATCATATCTTCCAATTCACGACATAGCGCGACCATTTCACAATGTCTTCTTCAATGAGTTACTGCCTCATCTTCAACGTGCTGTACCCTACTGGTCACGTCTTCCCACTGGAACCCCAGGTTAACTGCCTGAATAGGGCCAGTTACTAGTGAGCATTAGATTAATTTTCAAGTATTGGTTTTGTAGGGATTTCGTTTGATTGCGTGCAGCATTTCATCATCAGCTGACATCAGTTAGGAAACAACTGGAAAACCTAGGAGTACTGGACATCCGTTTCGTCCTAGTTTGGGACTCTTCAGCAGTACGCACCCACCGGGATTCGAACCCAGGACATTCTGGTTACAAGTGAGAATTCAAGGACCATTGGATCGGGTACCAGTGGCTCAATGGTCTACGAGCTCGCCTTGTAACCAGAAGGTCCTGGATTCGAATCCCGGTGGGTGCGTACTGCTGAAGAGTCCCAAACTAGGACGAAACGGATGTCCAGTACTCCTAGGTTTTCCAGTTGTTCTCTAACTGATGTCAGCTCATGATGAAATCCTCCACGCAATCAAAGATTAAACAAGACAAGACGAAGGCAAATAATAATAATAAGGATCAAAAATCAATATGTGATATGCAAATGTCGAATTAATGATACACAGTGCAGGTGGGGGGAAAACGTGTTACAATCAAAAAGTTAATTGGAACATGTAAATAAGTATAAACATTCTAAATAGACCGTCGAGGAGGAATTTTCCAAAATGTCTGTCCATTACATAGGTCACTGATACTGATTCTGTAACAACCCACGGTCATCTTTTATTTCATCTGGTTTTAATTTTTCCGTATAGTGAGACTTGGAAAAAAGTGTATTAAAAAGATAATTTTACTGCAAAATTTCTTTTTCTTTTTCTCAGGTTTTTAATCCACCCAGTCAAAATCCATATTACGTGGAATGTTTTTACATTAACAATAAATCAATGAATTATCAGATCCCAATTTATTCAGGTAATATTTTGACAGAAATTCAATTTTTTTTATTTTGCAAGAGTTATTTTTTTTTCATAGGGATTTGATTTTCTCCAGATTCGATCACGGATTGATATCAATTAGAGAAGCATTGAAAACCACAGGGAGTATTAAACAGTTGTTTCGTCAGTCTAGTTACGGACTCATTGCCACTACTTATCCAACCCACTGCCAGGGTTCGAACCCAGAATCTACCGATTACAAGGCGGAGAAGTTTGTTGACCATTCAGCCACTGGGATCCGATTCATTGGCCAGCCTATGAATTTGAACTTCTGCCATTTCGTGGTTTCAGCGCGACTGATATCAGCCAATATGTCGCCACTAGTGAGTATATCTCCTCACTCCCGACCAGGTGGACCCCGCTAGTCACGAATTGTTGTTAGAACTCCAGACAACTTTTTCCAGTAGTTAGTCATTAGCGAGCACCAAATTAATTTTCAAACCCTGGGAGTGCGTTCCAAACTAGGACGAAACAGACACCCAGTGCTGGTTTTCAATGATTCTCTAACTGAAATCAATCCGTGATCAAACTTGAAACTATTTATTTCATGTTAGACTGAAAAAATTGTTAACTTTTCTAGTTTTTGATCTCAAAAGCTTTTAAGTAATTTATCTATCTTCATATGATAA